AAAAGTCAACAGAGAAATCCTCAGAGAAGTGAGTGCCAAATGGAAAATGAAGCGGCCCCTGGGCCAAGCGGTGGGAGCTGCTGGTGAAGCGTTTTTTATTTCGTCGCTGCACTTGGTTTGGGAAGGGGTCACTCACCGTTTTTGCTTGTCTAAAACAAATTGAGAATTGAAGACATTTGTACAAGGTTATATTTTTCCATTGCTATGATAAAAATAACGTGAAAACAATAAAATGATATGAAACATTCCCCACGCAGTCCTGGTGATTTCGGTCTTTTTGTCGTCTCTTGGACTCCTGGACTTCTGGACTCTGCCCACTGCAAACTGAACTTTGGCTCTTGAGTTCAGTGGCCGCCTCCCACTGTCAGTTTGTTTACGCCACAGAAAACCATGATTTTTGTCTTTTCTTTTTTAACTCGGTTTCTGGCTTGTTGGATGGTCACAGTTCGGTGGCCGCCCCCTCGCCAACGGAGGAGTCTTGTTGGGATGTTGAGTTTGTGGTGACGTGAAGGCGCTGCAGAAACCTGCAAGCACACTCAGTGCTGACTGCCCGCCTCGACAACTCCAAGTCTGGGTCACTTCACTTTCAGTCAGTAACCGTAATCAAATGTCAAACCAGGAAGAAACACCTGAAATAGTTTGTGTTACATTGAGTTGGAAGTGAAGTGGATCCAACTTTGGAGGGCTCTTATTTTGTAGAGGTGTGGCAGCTGCAGGTGGAACGTACTTCCTGTGTTGACATTGATAAACCTGGCAACTCAATTACTGAATTGTGAATCATTTCAAGCCAATTGCTTTTTATTTCGTATTCAACTTTAGTGAACTAATAAAGTCTATATTGTACTGAACCATCTGCTGCTGCTTCTTCTGCCAACACGAGGTGAACAAACATCTGTTTCCAAACAGGAAGTGGAAAGAAAAATAGTTTTACAGATGTTTCCAGATGTGACGTGGGCAAGTGAAACCTCTACGAACCAGACACACACAGCTGGGTCTGTTTCTAATGTAATTGTCTCACATCTTCAATTTAACCAGTGAGGGACACACACACATGAGATGCAGGTGCTTGCACAGGAGCCACACTGTAAAAAAGGTTTATGGTCTTTCTCAGAAAAAAACTCATTTTATACTTTGAAACAAATTCATATTAAAATACCAAGTTTGACTTCTCAGACCACTTCAGAGAGAATGAGCGAACTGCTGAGACTTCACCTGGTCATTACAGCTCTTTAAAGATACAAAACTAGAAAACATTCTCCACATTACAACTCTGCACACTTGTTTTGTTTAAAAAGAACATTCATGATGGAAACTCTTAAGTTAACACTTAACATGTTAAGTGTTTTAATAAAAACAATAGAAACCGTGATGAAGGTTGGTGTTGTCCACTTAGAGCTGAACAAAGTTGGAGCAGCAGATGAGTGTGACTCTTCATCCTGTTAACTGAACGTCTTCTGAGACCCTAGTCTTAGGGACATAAATGTTCAAGACAAGTTCAAAGTTCGTTTCCTCTGAAGATTATTGCAGGGAGTCTGGAGTAAGTCTCAGTTGGATGAGGGAGAAAACCCCACTGTGTCCGACCCTCTGCGTCGTCCTCATGAAGCCATTCAGTGACCTAGAGCTGCAGCCATGAGTCAGTTCACTGGTAGAAAATGAACCTCAGCTATTTAGAAGCAACAGTCACCGACATGTTCTGGTTCCACCTTCTTTAATGTGAGGAGCTGATGCTTTTCTTTGTCAGACATGAGAATCAGCTGAGTCTCTGTGGGTCTGTTGGTTGGACACAACGAGACCTGTGGAGACGCCACCTTTGGCTCTGGAGAGTCACAGTGGGACTTTTTCCATGTCTGACATTCTGGGGACAAACAGATCAATCAGATCATCAGGATGGTGATCAGCTGATTGATCAGTGGCCCTGCTGGTTGGGTCTCCACTCAGTCAAGAGTCTACTCTCATCTGTAGAGACCAGAAGGACCAGTACAAGACCAAAGTGTCCCACAGGTCTCGTTAGCGCCTCAGCTTTAGTTCCAGTAGCTTTACAGGCTTCACATCAAAGAAAGAAAAGGAAGATGCAGCTTATTCTGGCTGAAAGTACTAGATTTGGCCCTGGATCCGCTCTCTGGTCCAGAGTAGCTGTCAAATAAGTAAATAATATGAGACGATGCAAAACGTATGAAAACAATCTAAATGATGAAATGTTAAAAGAAAAACAAATAATGAACCGCAGTTAATTGTTGAAACACAACCAGAGATTTGCATCTGACTTGTTAATGGATAACGGTTATCGATGAGGTAACCGACAGGTGGATAACTCAGGTGTTTGTCTTCAACGCGTTGGACACACGGGACAGAGAGAGAGGTAGTAGAGAGACCTCCGGCAGCCACGGAGGTACTCCGGTAACGGGAGGCATTCAGCGCTTGCAGCCGGTTTCGGTTTTTCGGTCCACCGTTCAGTGTCCACGAGTCTCCGTTTATCATTCAGCACTGATCGATCAACGATGCCGCCGCTGCGCAGCCGTCCCGCGCGCATCATCACATCCGTGTTGTCTGTGCAGTAGGAGGCTAACGGCGAGCTAACGGTACCGAGCGCGGCACCGGGCGGCTTTTCATGTCTCTTCATGTTTTGACGTCGTTCAGCGGAGCCATTACCGTCACGAACCGGTCTGGACTTTACGTGGCTACCGGTCGGTGCTCCGGCAGGCTGCCCGGTTAGCTCAGCGGGGAGGATGCAGCAGCTAGCCGCTGTTAGCTGTTTGTTTCTCGGTGTGTTATGTGAGACGCAGCCCGTGTAGCCACAGCTAACTAACGTTAGCCTGTTAGCATGAACGACGCGCAGCAAGAAATGTCCCCGGACTTCGTCCTGATGCGGCTCTTGTCTGCGGCGGAGTACGATCGGCTGGACGAGCCTGACGCCCTGATGTCCGGAGGCGGCGGATTCGGCCCTGTTAAAGCCGTGCTGGGACATCACGGCGGCGGGTTTGATCTAGACCCCAGCGGCCCTTCGGCAGGCCTCGGCTCTTCCTCCCCGCACTACAGTTCGCCGCTCGCCGGAAAAGGCGAAATGGACGCTGGGCTGGTGTTGACGCAGGCCCCCTCGGGCTCTGAGGCGCCGCTGTCCCCTCCGCCAACCGAGGACTTTGCCGTAGCGGCCCAGCAATTCGTGGACTTCACAGTGCCGCATGGCTCAGGGGGACACGGGTCCAGGGCGCAGTTGATGGTGTTTCAGAACCTCCTGGGGTCCGGAGACCGAATCCTGGAGTGCGGATTGGAGCAGCCGCCCTCGGGGTTCCTCCAGGAAGAAACAGAGACACAAAGACAGCAGCTGGACTCTGGGTTGGGTACTGGTTCTGGTAGCACAACAGCTGGTCCTGGGCCTGGAGGGGGAGACGACCAGAATTCGCACTGCATCCCCTCTGCAGAGGAAAAGCTGCAGCCACAGCAACCGCAGCTGCTCCAGTGGCATCCGGTCCTCACACTGTCAAAAGGGTCAGACGCGTCCCAGACTTCCCAGCAGGGGGTCCCTTCTTTGGACTCTGAATCCAGGTCTGTCATGTGCCACAGGCACCGCCTGCTGACAGACCGACTGACTAAATGGCCTCCAGGCCTTTTGGACCAAGCTCTGCGCCTGGGTCTGCTGGATCCAAGAAAGAACTGCTCTAGTGGGAATGAGGACCCGGTTATATCTCTGGCTCAGAGGTTGGGGCAGCTGGGTGAAGGCAGTGCGGGAGGTGGAGGGGGGGAGCTCATGCTCTCACTCCCTCGGTGCTCCTGTCACAGCGTCCTGGCCTCAGGAGCCGGTGGCATGGGGCCCGGCGAGGATCCAAGCGAGACCAGTGATGCTTTGCTGGTTCTGGAAGGTCTTGGTTCTGAGGAGGTGGGAAGACTGGAGGAGGGAGGGGACAAGGATAGAGGGAACATGGGGGACCCTGACAAAGGAGGGAGGATAGGTGGAGGGGCTGTGTCCAGAGGGGCGGGGCCTGTGTTTTCTAGTGGAACTTTGAGCGGTCTGATGCGGCAGGTCCACAGACTTGCAGAGGAGGCAGGGGTCTGCACCGATCAGAACTGCCGGTCATCGCTGGCCATCCTGGGGGCCGCGGTGTCCCTTGCACCCTGCGTGGACCCCCATCCCACCATCAGCACCACCCATTGCCTGTATGCCCCTGTTCGCTCTCAGGCCCCACAGGTCTCAGCAGCCCTCAGCGGCCTCCAGGTCTGCACTGATCCCTTCCCATCCTCCAGCCCCCACCCTTGCCCTCACCCACAGCATCAGCACCAGTCCCGCTCCCAGCCTCAGAGCCGCGCCACCACCCCCAAGCTTGGCGTGACCTCGGGGGCAGCTGGCCGGTCTGCCTCCCCCTTGGTGGTCCTGGAGGGGGAGGTGGGAGGTGGCGGAGGAGGGCGGGGGGGGGAGAAGACACCACAGGCAAAGTCGAGAAAGGGAGGGTCCCTGGAGGTCCGGCTCCGCAAACTGTTCCGAA